AGAGAGAGAGAGAGAGAGAGAGAGAGAGAGAGAGAGAGAGAGAGAGAGAGAGAGAGAAAAGCCACTAAGATTTCCAAACTGGGAGTCAAACGGTCTTGGGATTGTTTTTTGAGGAATTTGAGGAGGAAAAAACTCTAGGGAAATTGGCTGGATTTTTCCCCCCAAAGAATATTTGTTTGTTAAAAAGTTAAAAATGAAGGGATACAAGGTCAAGGGTAGATTTTCGCCCTCCTGTCTATTTTTAGCCGGGACTCTTTCCTCTCCCACATACTATCCTTCACTAAGTGTCCTGGACTTTCATGAGTTCTGTGTTCCTCACCCACCAATAACAGTGTTTCTCCACCTCTTCCAAGACAGGAGGGACCCTGCCACCTCTGCCCTTGGGATGGGAGGCTCAATCCGACCCTAGCACTTACAACCCGGCCTCCTTATGTCACAGATGGAGATGTCACAGATGGAGAAGCCGGGAAGAGAGAGAGGTGGAGGCGGTGGGGGGACGGGACTGCTCTCCAAGTCTGCAGAGCATGAGTCCAGCCAGAGCCTTTGCCCTCCGCTCTCCTTTCTAGCTCCATGGAATTCCTGCCCAGAGCCCCAGAGCCCCCCAGAAGGCCTGAGGCTCTGCTTCCCCAGCTGCAGCCGAGTCTCACACCCTTCCCACTCACGCTCTGGCCTCCAGCTTTGCCAAACTATCGGTTCCCATGTTCATGCCTGGGCACATACTGTTCTGGGTGCACGCCCTGCTCTTCACAGTCCCAGTGCCGTCTGCTTGCAGCCCTAGCATCCTGGGCCTTTTCACTTGTGGGATGCCCAGACAGCCTCTCCCTGTCTTCATCAGGGGCCGCAGATGAGCCCTCCTTCCACGTCAGGGGTAGTAGACGACCTAGCCCTGGTCAGTCTTATCTCCGTGGAATCACCATGTTTCACTGAGGGAGGGGCCTGTGGCCCAAACAAATCCAAGAACTCTCTCAGTTCTTGGAATTCGAGATTAAAAGTGAACAGGATTTCTCCTTTCAGGAGCTGTTAACTGTTTCCATGTAGAGTGTCATCGAGTGTCTGCTGGGCAGCCTGCCTTCAGGAAATGGATCCTTTTTAACAGTAAAGTCTGTGTGGCTGATGGGAGAGCTTGACCCTCTGAACATTGCGTTCCCAGATCAAGCCATGCCTGAAACATATTCTCTGAGCTTTTCAGAAAGACGAGCCTATTAATCTCCCCATTCCTCCTTAAACCAATTCAAGTCATATCATGTCACTTGCCATTAAGAGTTGCAAAGCATGCATCATTGAAGTGGATGCATTCCTTCTCTGTGGAACCCAGGACCTGGTGCACACTTCTGTGTCCTTTAATCACACTCCTGCAATTTCCCCCTCCACACATCTTGGCTTCTTCCTTTGAGTGAACAGAAGGATCTGGCTACCTCTGTCTGTCATCCTGACACAGACCAAGACACACCATCAAACTGACGTTAGAGCTGTGAGCTTTGAAGTCAATGAGACAGAGTTTGAATCTGACTCTGCCTCATGCTGTGGTCGGCGGTGGACAGTCCTCTCCACCTCTCTGAGTCTCAGTGTCCTGGATGCTCTCCGTCAAGGATCACTAAAAAGGAGTAGGGTTATTCCTCTTGCCCTGAATGGAGCGTTTGGCCTCCACCAGCGTGGAGGAAAGGATGATACAGACCTCAGAGAAGTGAGTGGGTCCTGTGAAAATCACAACCAAGGCTGTGCACAGTCCAGGGTGGGAACAGGTCACACGCAAACAGCAGGTTACTTTCAAGGGTGACAGCTGCTTCTGGACATGGAGACGTGAGCTGGGAAAAGCTGAAGCCTGTGGGTGGAAATGGGCAGCTCCTCTCTCCCACCTGCCCCCGAGCCGCTCTCCATTTGGGAGTGGGCACTGAATGTAGGCAGAAGACTGTCACCTTCCCGAAGATCCTTGACACTGTCACACCCTTGCTCCAGGCCCCGAGAAGGGTGTGTATAGGGGTTGTTAGCTGGGCAGACTTGAACCACAGCCCCAATGGTCTGCCTTCCCAGCTGTGTGTCTCTAAGGCAAGATGCCCACTCTGAGTCTCTGCTCTCTTATCTCCAAAATGTATTGTGAAATCACAGGGTCACCTGGGATTGGCTCTTAGGTCTGTGTCACAAACAGTATCTTGAAAACTCTTGATGCAGGCTGAGGGCTTGCTCCTCTCGCTATTGCCCGGTGGGGGCTCGTTCCTCGCTGTGGCCCTGCCCAGAGTGAGCTTGCTTACCGCCGCCTCCCAGGGCACTGAGTGACTGCACGCAGGCCTGCAGCTGTCCGGTGTCCAGCTGTTGAACTCCCCCTCTCTGTGTTCTCACATTGCAGCTCACGCCAACGCCCAACACCTCAGCTACCTCATCCGCAAGATGGAGACAGTGACGGCTTCCACCTCACCTGTGGGTTTGTCGGGTCGACTTGACTTCATACAAGCCACATACTCCACACTGCCGGACACCTGGCGAAGGCCCAAGGAATGTCAGTCAGCTTTAGTAATTTCTAGAGTAATTTAGTGAGCCTCTTTATATGAGGAGACCACCATCTCAGAAGAAATGGAGGGAAGCGTGCCTGCCCTCCTACACATAGTCCCAGGTGAGGGTCTGGAGAACGACAGTGAAGATTCCTGTGCGCTGGGGAGGGAGTGCTGGAGGCGGAGCAGAGCAGGGTGGGGGTGGGGGACTCCCGACCAGCTTCCCAGTGCTGTGGGACATAGGCACTTTTCCTTCGTGGTGTGCCCAGCACATCCGTCGCCCAGCCTCACAGGGCTGGGTGGAGACTGACAGTTAGGTCCCACTGGCCCAGCCACAGGGTTGGCATTGGTGATGGTGAGGAGGGCTCCCTGTTCTGTCCTGCCCTGTGGAGTGGCTGCAGGGCTGAGGAGGAATTGCAGGGCTGTAGGGCTGGACCTCAGGGCGTTCTTCCCACTGCATCTGCACTGATTTGAGAGGCAAAGTCCAGACAGTGGAGAAGAGAAAGGGGTGCAGAGGTGGTGGGGAGAGGGAGAGGAGGAACAGAGTGATGGAGGGAGACTGGGTCACAGCCCTCTGACTCTCTCTGGTTTAGTCGCTGGAGCTGCTGCTGTGTTCAGTGACTACCATCTGTCTGTGTATGCGAGATGAGATGCACTGCTGTGTGCTGTGGCCGTGAATGAATGAATGGTTAATGGATTGAAGGCATCCGTCAGTGTGGGGTATGTCTTTGATGAGTGAATATGGTGGAGACTGAGATGTTTCTGCAGAGAAGGGAGGAGAGTCTGCACCAGCCAGAAATGAGGGCGATGCCCACAAACCCCCTGTCTTCCCCATCGTGTGCCAGCAAAGCCGTGAACATGAGCCGAGGCCCATGCAGGAAGTCCCCAGGAAGCCAGACTGTGCCTGTGACCACACTGTGGCCCCTGCAGAAGAGAGTGTGACCTCAGTTCCCTCTCAGCCACGGTCAGCCAGCTCCAGATCCCAGCTTCTCCTCACTGTTGCCCCGCACTTGGAGCCTGGCTGACTCGCTGTGTTTGGTCCCAGCTGTCTCTAACATTGTGGAACAAGGCTTGCTCTCATGGGAAGAACTAAGTTTTAGGGCCAATGATCTCTCCCAGGGAGATGAAGAGCATGGTCCCTGCATCCTAAGGACACAATCTCCCCAGACAGCCATTTGGTTCCATCTGGATGTCTCTAGGAACAACAACAAAAAAAGCTGCAAGGAGCTAGGGTTAGAGCCCCAGGATCCAGACCTGGCCTCTCCTTGGCTCATGATGTGACCTTGGAGTAGCTGTTCCATCTCGTGAGCCCCAGTTTCCCAGTCTATAAAATAATAGGAGCTAGAGCCTGGACCAACTTACCTTTAAGGGCCCGTTTAGCCAACCTGAACCAAGGAGCTGTTTTTGCTTATGTCCTTGAGGTTTGCAAAGGTCTCAGCTGGTCCTCTGACCTAGCAGTTCTCAGTGCCATGTGTTTGGCACCCACGTGATGAGGCCACCACACACCTGGCATTCTCCCATCTTCTGTCCCCAGGACTGGCGGTGGTTTAGCACTTTGCCCTTTTCTCCTTCAGAGCCATCAGGATGCAGATGAGAATGGCTGACATTGTCCCAGGACTGAGGGAAAACAGACTCGGCTGCATCATTCTAACCCAAATCACTTGAAAGATCAGTGCTTTGTTGTGAGCCAAGAATTGCATTGCCAGCTTCTCCCAGATGATTCTGACCCAGGAGGTTGTCTAGACAGTGGGCCAAAGCCATGGTGGCAATGGTCCAGGAGGAGACAGTGGGGCTTCACATCCAGGTGAGATGTGCAGAAGACATTTCCCCAGTTCGTGCCCAGATCCCCCCTAAGACAGGCATTATTTCCTAACATGAGCAGTGCTGGCCAGCAGGATCTGGGTGCCTGAACTCCCACGAAGGCAAAGGAGCTACCTCATCCCTAGACACAGCAGGGAGTGGGGAGGGGGCAGAGAGAGGGGACAAGGAGAGGGGCTAGAGAGGGAACGGATGTGTCTTAACTTGGTCTCCGCTGTCACATGTCCCCTGTGTCAGACTCCAATGTTACAGGTACCTCAGGGGTGTGTGTCCAGTGAGCCAACACATCACTTCACACACTAACCTCACAGTGTGGGAGCCAAAACCATGGGCAAATACTGAGACCTGAAACCTCTGCAGATATCTCCAAAACCACCTCCGCCTTCTGGTCTGGGGTTTCCAGTCACCACAGCTAGGCCTGGAGTGCTGTCAAGGACTCCCAACACCTCGGTTTTGTCCTATTTTGCTGAAGAGCCAAAGCCGCCCAAACTGAATGCAAGTGGCTGTTTCTACCCATGGGGTCTTCATCAGGGCCTACTTCTACATGGTCCTGCTCCCAGACACACCCCCATCTACTTATCAAATTAACACACCTGTTGAGGAGCAGGTTCTGTCCTTAGTCATCAGTTTGTATTTTGAAATAATTTTGAACTTCTGTGTACCCTCTAGCCAACCGCTTCCCCCAAATACAAATGTTTTGCATAGCATTGAAACCACTCAGAGTGCGTGGACTTTGTTTCAGGATACATCCCGGGATGTCATGCTGCACACCTGTCTCCTCCAATCTGTGACCTTGCCCAGTCTTTCCTTATATTTCAAGATGTGGAGTACCACACAGAGTGGCAGAAGTGGGAGCAGAGCTTGCGTTGGGACAGAGAGCACTCTGGTCAAGCTTTGCACGCAGGGCAAAGGACAGTCTTCCCTGGAGGAGCCCCCCAGGTCACACAGGAGTCTTCATTAACGGGACATCATGCCGTGTGGACACTGCAGCCAGACATGTCAGCCCGGCTGCACCGGTGCCCCAAGGGCTGCAGACTCTGCTGTGCTCCCTAAGATGAGTCACTGGGTCTTAGGTCCCAGTTCCCCACCTGTGAAGATGACCTTCTCTGCAAATAAGGTCTTTGGGGGAAGAGATCAAGTGAAGACAAATCCACACTAGAGGAAAGTGTGTCCTTGTAAGATGAATGAAATCTGGGGCCGAGATGGCAGCTGTACCTTCAAGCCAAGGCATGCCAAGGATTGCTGACAGCCACCAGAAGCTGGGAGAAACTGGATAGAATCCTCCCTAGAGCCTGCAGGGAGAGCCAGGCCTGGCAGAGGCCTTGACTGTAGTCTTGAAACCTCTGCAACCTCTGCTTTTCTAGGATGTCCAGGTCAGAGCTTTTTGCTGCCCTGGTCTCAGGAAATGAACGCATCAGCATCTGCAGCAGTTTCTGGCAGCCCCCATCTAACAGCATCCACTTAGAATCCCGTAATTGAGCAAGGGCCAAGGTCACTTCCAAGATTAGCAATAAAGGATGGACTCTGGCTGTTTCCCTTGTCCTCTGGTTCCCCTTGCTCTCTCTAAGGAAACAAGCTGCCATCTTGTCACCTGGCCAGTGGAGAGGCCCCCTGAGATGAGGAGCAGTGGGTGGTCCTGGCCAGCTGCCTGATCAGCTGAAGCCCTTGGGCGATCCCCCCACAAGGAACTGAATTCCAACAGGAAGCCTGTGCCTGAGCTGGGAAGCCCAGGCTTCCTCAGTTGGTCCCCATAAAGACCACAACGTGGAAGACACCCTACTCTGACTGTTGCATTGTGAAGACCTTGAGTCAGAAAATCCCCCTGAGCTCTGACAGACACTTGAAGGCTGAACAAGGAAGGATGCTCCGGGACAAGGAGGTTTTAGGTGTTTTTTGTTCTGCAGAAATAGATAGCATGCCACGTACATAACAGAGGCAGCTGGTAATCACCTCAGGCACTGATGCAGCCTTCACACAACTGTAGGATTTTTTTTGTCCCAAGAGAGGCTGGAAATTTCACTTAAAAAAATTTTTTTTTGCATTTATGTATTTTGTGTGTGTGAAAGAGAGAGTCTCTGCATGTACCACAGTCTGCATGTGGACGTCAGAGGAGAAGCAGGGTTGGTTCTCTCCTCTGCCAGGTCAGACATGCTGCTAAATGACCTGCAGGAAAGTACCACTCACTCCAAATGTCCCCGTCCTTCTGTTGAGAAGCCCTGAGCAGGAAGGCAACACTTGTGTAAACAAACTACAAGTCTGCCTAGCGGACCTGGTGGGACCTCCAGGGCCCAGCCTCATGGGCGGTTTTCCTGCTCAGAGACAAGGCTGACCTTCACCATTCACCTTTCCTTCCCTTCCCCCATCCTCTGTCCCATCTCTCTCCTGCCTTGTAGGGTTATCTTGGGCTTTCAAATTCCTTTCAGGCATAGAATATAATATTTCTCAGTTATTACTCAATAATGTCTAATATTGAAACCACAATTGCTCATCCGTTCTAAAACTTCTTTACTCTACTCAGGTCTGACCTCTCTAGAAAGTTCTTCAGGTTGGTCCTCAGATAGAGGAAGGGATATGCCAGCCAAGGTGCAGTGGGAAAGCAGAAACCAGGCCAGGGATTCCTAACAGAAGGCTCTTGGTACAGAGGACCAATTCAATGGATGCTAATCAGACAGAAGGGCAGAAAGGATGGTGACAGGGAAAAGTGATTACAGGAAGTACCCAGGGTCTAGTATGGGAAAGGAAGAAAGAAGTAGTTAATTGGATTCTGCAAGCTGGGGGAACTGCAGTCATCTTGAGAGTTGGAATTCGGTCCTAGTCTGCAGAAGAGGTGGGAGATTGTTGACCTAGAACAGAGTTAACCTAGTCAATAACAAAGAAACCTTACATTTACTTGGGGCCAACATTGGGACTACATGGACAGAGCAGTCTTGAAGTCATGCTCTAGGCTTTCATAATGGCTGCCGCACTTATATAGAGGCTTTCAAAATGGCTGCCGCACTTGTAGATCTAAACCCAATGGGAACTGTGATGATGTCACTCATTGGGGTGATGATGGGTGCTGGCAGAAGCTGAGCTGCTCTGTAACGGGGGGGGCGCTATAGTGGGTGTCACGCAGCTTGAAAAGGGGTCTCCAGTGCAAAAGGTCAGCAGTGGCTGGTCACCTTTTAAGGTCAATTGAAGCCAGAAGCGGTACATGGACAGCCAAGCTTAAAGGTCTAGTCCTGAGGTGTCTGAGATCTGAGAGACATCCTCCTGGTGCCATTTTGAGATTTCCTCTTGACAAATGGTGGCTCACCTCTCCTCCTGCCTTCTGATCTGCCACCGGAGCCTCTCACCGTCAGAGCCTGAGAGGGCCACCTGGGGGAGCAGCTGGAGAATGGTACTCACCACAGCCAGACCCACGTCACTGGGCAGTCTAGGGGCCAATAGCAGGAGGCCCAGCTGCCCTTTCGTTAGCTGCCTCCCCGCTCCTCCGTACTCCATCTCCACTGGAGTGGGGTTTACACAGGAATAACTGAAGGGTCCCAAAGGGAAGAGCCCTGTAACATGCATCCCTCATGGCTTTTCCGGGATGCTTTGACTGCAGTTGGGCACAAATTATTGGTGTTCTGTACACTCTATTGAACCTTCACACATGTCCTAACTCTCCTTTATGGCTTACTCAGAGACCTGCTCCTGGGGAGCCCTGATTCCCCCACTTTCTGTCTTAACAGTCAGCCCCCTGGCTGGGCACCTCAGTGGTCCCTCAGCTCCTGAGACTTTCTAGTGCACATCTTACAGGGACATCCTGTTGGATCCTTCTGTTCCAGCATGCCTTGCTTTAGACAAGGTCCTTTCCACAAGGCTGTGGCTCAACCATGTTCCATGCCCCTCACTCTGCTCTGCCAAACCTCAGAAGGTCACAGGTCAGTTCATTCCAAAGCATCCTCTCCGTCATTAGTCCTCACAGGCTTTTAGTCTTCATATCACATCAGAGGAAAGCCAGGTGCCATATTTACATAGCTACATATATCAGTCAACAGTCCCTAAAGATGTTTCTACCACACTAACAGCATCAAGGAAAACACCACAGTACAGCATCTGAATGCCAGTGAAGAGTACAGAGAGAATTACTCCACATAATTGCCTTCCATGTTGGCTCAGTGGCTGGGCCAGTGTCTCTGTAAGTCTCTTGGACCTTTTCTCATGTTGGCAACATGGCTGCACCACCTCTGGTCCTCGATGAAGAAGGAAAGCAGGTGCAGGAAGACGAGCCCCGCTCTACCCCTCCGTAACTTCAGCTTTCCCAAAGGGACTCTAGCAAACGTGGGCTGACACCTTGGTGAGTATAAGTGAGCTGTGGCTCTCCTCCTAGCTTGGTCAGTGACAAGGGAGACTGGAAAGAGCATACTGTCGGGGGCATCTGCGAGTCAGGGGAGTGTTTTGTGATGGTTTTATCGTTGTTATTGGTGGTTGATTTGTTTCTGGGATGCTCAGGAGGAATCCAGGCTTTGCCCTGTTAGGGAGCTGCTTACCACTGAGCCCCACCGCCAGCCTAAGGACACTATTTTCTAAGGAAGCATCCAAAAGGACTTGGGGGGGAGCCAGTAGGTTCTACCCCAGGCATTCCAGCTACCTTTGACCTTCTCCGTATAGACAGCACCGCCCTATGTGAAGTTTCACCCTGTCAGAGGAATTAACTGTGCCCTGAGGTAGCTGTCAGAGTCCTGCTTCTGTAAGTCACCTGAGGCCCACATCACCAGCAGGGCTGACATTTCCTGGCCATGGGCCAGACTCCTACCAGCTGATACAGACGATCTGATCACTTCCACATTGTTCCTTTCTACTTTGATTTTAGCAAATCCTTTAGATTTTTTTTTCTTGAGCTCTAGTCTAGTCAAAACACTCCAGCCAGTCCTAACCTCGGACCACGCAAGACCCAAAGTCAACAATTTAGAGCAAAACCTTAATTCAACAAACAGGACTTTTTATTTTTATCAGCCACTTCTCTGGGAATCCTAAACTGCACTTTTGATTAGTGACCGGATTAAGAAACCCTGATGTCACTCACCAGGCACCCCACATTTAACAACCCCCCAAATTAGCTGGCCACAAATGCAATTTGTTGGTCCAATTGAACAGCTGTTATTAGAACACCATATTAGTTAGGGCAGGCGTGGCTAGCTGCTGTAACAGCTAACCTCCAAAGCACACTGGATTAGCCTGACAGGTACTTCTATTTAAAGGAGCCCCTGGCAGCTGCTTCCACTTCTTCTCCTGTGTCCCCTCTGCCGCACAACCCTGATCCTCTCCCGTCAGCCAGTGTGTGGGAAGAGAGTTTGGGTTCTGCACCACAAGCCTGGCAGGGTTGTTTCTGGATGCCCTTCGCCTCTGGCTTTGGTTCACCTTCTGAAGGTGGGACTCACTGATGTGGATAGACCAATACAGCAGAGGGCAGGACAGGGTCTAGGAATGACAGGAAAGGAATAAGCAGACCTCTCTCTCTCCAAGACACTGTGAGAGCTCAAGTTGCGTTTTAAGTTTTAATTACTGTGCTTAAGAGATCCATTAAAGAAAAATGGCTGGGACTTGTAAGTCTCTGGAGGAGGACAGATACTTCCTGAAATGTTGGAAGCTATTATTTATGTAAGATAACAAGCCACGGGCAGGAGGTACATAGGCTGGGAATACGTCAGGATGGATGCCTGCCTCTGAATGGACTTCGTGGGAAATATGCAGTCTTATGGGTTTGCCTTTATAAACCTCTGCAAAATGTGACTTGGTTGACATTTTCCAGGAACCCTGAAGTGGACCTGACCAGAGTCCATCATCCTGGCCAGTACTTAATTAAAACGTGCTTCAAATTTGGCTCCAAAATTGTGGTAGTGATCTTACTCTGGACCAACAGAATTTGCAACACCTACCTGTGCGAGTGTTTTCCATACAATGTCTTGAGAAAACTCAGGTTCAGAGAGGTGAAATTTCTTGTCCAAGATGACACAATTAAAATGTGAAATGATTATCTTATTTTCTGTGATCACTTCCTGTTTAGTTTTTCTGCCCATTTGGAGTCCACTTTGGTACAGTTACTTTGTTTTCATCATTCATAAAACATACCTTAAAAAAATACTTGATGTATACTTTTGTTATTTTTAGATGACTCCACACTCCTACCAACAGAGCCAAGTTGTGCTGATTCCTTCCCATCTTCTTTGACATAGAACAGCACTGTTTTCTTTCTTCCATAATATTCTATGAATTCTTTAAGAATCTCATACAGTATATTTTGATCATATTCACGTATCCTCCCCCACTTCCTCCCAGATCTTCCCCTACCTTCCAACCCGTCCAACGTTGTGATATTTCTCCTCTTCCCCCTCCATCTTCCTCCCCCTCACCTTTTTCTCTCCCTCTCTCAACCCAATGAGTCCAATTTGTGTTACCCAACTGCTCTTAGGAGCAGGGCCCACCCTCAGATGTGGTTGGCTTACCAGGGGCAACACCATTAAAGAAAACTGACTCTCCCAGCACCTGTTAAATACCAATAGCTCCTCAGCCAGCTGTGGACTTTGTGCCACGCTCCCTCCTCCATGTGGGGATTTTGCATAGCCTTTTGCATGTTATCACAGCCACTGCGAGATCACGTGTGCAACCCCCCTGTTGTGTGCAGAAAATAGTTTCCTTTGTCATCCACTAGCTCTGGCTCTTGTACTCCTCCCTCTCCTCTTCCATGACGATCCCTGAGCCTTGGCGTGAGATATGTGATACTGATGTCCCAGGAAGGATTGAGCTCTCTGCAGGTTCTCATTCTCTGCATATTGACCGGCTGAGGGTGTCTGTGTTAATTTCCATCTACAATAAGAAGCTGCTCCGATGAGGGTTGAGAGATGCACTAGTTGATAGGTATATCGATGCATCCTTAGGGGTCTGTTTAATGCTGTGTCCATGTAGCAGAGTAATAGCAGCCCATCTAGCCACAGGTTCTTGACTCTGGTAACTTTGCCAAGCATGGGTTCCATTTCATGGACAGTGCCTTACATGCAATGAAAAACGTAATTGGTTGCTCCCATAACTATTGCGCCAGGGAGCATGTCTTAATACTGTGTTTAAAGACAATGTTATTCAATGGTAAAGTGCTAGCTCATCTAATTGATTGCTGATGAGACTACATTCTCCCCCTTTCTTCCCAAATCTATGTGTTCCTTTGTGAATTCTCTACTTTAATTCTCTGTTCCTGTACCTGGTAGGGTCTGGCTAACTTCTCAAGTATCATGAGCACATGGGCACGCGTGAGCGCACACACACACACACACACACACACACACACACACACACACACACCAGAGCTCTTCCAGCCTGCCTCCTCAGGCTTGCTGCTCACTTGCTGTCTCCAGCGTGTGCCACATTTTTCTGCTGTTGACTCCATCCATCTCTTTCTCTGTGATCTTTTCTGACGCTTCTAAGTTTAACCAACCTATTCTCCCAAGAGGTCTGATAAATATTCAAGTCTTTCTCCCTCCATGGTTTGGCTTTTTAAAAATATCCTGCTCTCTTGGGCATCTGGAATGCATTTCTGAACAAGGCGGCAGCGCTGCACCATGCAGAAGGTTCTGACTGCAGGTCTACAGCCTGCGAGAGGAGGGGCCTTATTTGCACTTCCAAGTCATCTGGCTTGACCTGGCCTACTTCTCCTCTCAAGCCGTAGCAGCCAGACCCGAGCACCTGGAAAGCAGGCTGAGGTCTGCTCCCTGCCAGCTACGGAGTTGCTACTACAGCTGTGCAGAGTCAGCATGTCACATGTTCTAAAGTCCTCTGTGCTTGCCACACATTGGGCCAGTGACGTAGGCTTTCAGACATCCCCAGGAGACAGCAACTATCCCCATTTGATAGATAAAGAAACTGAGGCTTAAGCAATTTATCCACGGTCATATACTAGAGTACTGGTGATTCGTATTCTTCCTGAGCCTCATTTTCTCCGGTTATTTGGGATCTCACCTTCTAGCTGCTAATAACCTAAATGTGCTGGTTGTTATGAAATTAAGTAGTATGGCTTTAAATTAATATCACCCTTCCTCTCTCAAGCATATTCAAGGGTACCTAGAGTAAACAAAAGCGCTGGAGAATGTCCACTTCCAAGAGAGTGTCGCACGACCCCACTGACCTCAAACCATTGCCGCTGTGGTGAGTATGAATTCCCATGCACTGCCTGGGAGTGATTGGCTTCGAGCTTGCTCAGTAAGAGTACAGGTCCACATCAGGAATTCCCACTTCTCTGTCCTCTTGTTTAGGAAACGTTTCATTTTCGTGAACTTGGACTCCTGAGTGAGGAGGCTTGTGATAGAGGACCAAGTGGAAAAGCATGAGGGAATGTGGTGGTATTGTGTTCCCCAAAATATTGTGCATGCTAATAAACTTATCTGGGGTCAGAGACAGAACACCCACAATATTAAACATAGAGGATAGACAGTGGTAGCACACGCCTTTAATCTTAGCATTCCAGAGGCAGAAATCCATGTGTTCAAGGATACAGCCAAGCATGCCTTTAACCCCAGAAAGCGAGCCTTTAATTTCAGGGAGTGGTGGTATAAAGCAGAAAGATATATAAGGCGTGAGGACCAGAAACTAGAAGCATTTTTCTGGTTAAGCATTTGGCTGGTTAAGCTTTTAGGCTTTGAGCAGCACAGTTCAGCTGAGAACCATTCGGATATGAAGACACAGAGGCATCCAGTCTGAGGAAACAAGATCAGATGAGAAGTTGGTCAGGTGGGGTTAGCTGTGGCTTGTTCTGTCTCTCTGATCTTCCAGCGTTCACCCCAATACTTGGCTTGGGTTTGATTTTATTAATAAGAACTTTTAAGATTCCTGCTACAAGGGAATGTGGCCATTACATTGCTTTAGTGGGCTGTCAAAACAGGGTGGCGATTTTGACAGCTCTATGTTCCCAGCATACTTCTGACACCACGTGGACAGGGGTCGCCAGGTCCCAAGCAAATACTTGCTTCTCCAGAGGATGCTAGTTGGGGCCCTCTACCTAAGCTCAGTCCTGACACTGTCTCCCTGAAGGTAAAGTCAGCCCCACAGGTCAAGTGCTTCTACCCCAAGGCTGTCTCTGAGTGACAGGCAGTATGTGACCTAGGGCTCAGCAATCTGGTCCAGTCCCTCAGATCTCCTAAGTGGCTAATAGAACAGAGGGATCCACAGGCTAATGAGAATGTGTTATTATGGGGAAAAGTCACAAAGAAGAAGAGGAATAGATGTCCAGAGCAAAATATGGGTGAGGAGACAGTGGTTGCTATGATCCTTCCCTAGCCTCAGCTGTCTGGAAACCCTCCCATCCTTGGCCTTTTGGATTACTGTAGTGCATGACTGAGGTCATGAGTCCACTTACGCTTCAGCGGCATTCTCCATTCCAGAGAATGGGGAACAGGGGTTCTTGCTTGGGTGTTCTTGGTGACAGTCCCATCCTGCAGCTACCTCAGACCTGTCAGCCCATGAAGATTTGGTGATTCGCTGAAGGGGCCAGAGCAGATTTCAGAAAGCTCCTGGGCGGGAGAGGTGGAGGCTACAGAGAAGCAGGAAGGACATGGTCTATTCTAGAGTCCAGCGTGGACGCCAGCAGCTCCAGCCACAGGCAAAAAGGACTCGACTTGCAACAAGGACTCTAGGCCATTTTATGAACTTCCAAGCCAGCCACTCAACCAACTCTGTGAAAAGGCAGCCATAGAGAGTGACAGGGAGCCAGGAGAAGTTGCCTTCTGCCTCAGGAATGGCCTTGCTACAGATGTGTCTTCCTCTGTTATAAAATCAACAAAGGGGAAAGAGTTTTAAAGAGCTACACCAAGCCTTTCCTCTGTAACGGAGGAGACTCAGGTGCTGCATTCTTTGGGTTAAAACTGACTCAGATAAGATTAGAAGTCTTCAACCTCCGTCGTGTCATGGAGTAGGGGATGGGAACGAAGATCCAGAGACAGAGCAGTGACTGGGGATGGCCTGGAGCTTGGGACAGCTCTCTGGCAGACAATCCCCACCCTCACCCCAGCCACAGCAAATGCAGAGGACTATCTGAAGGTTTATTTGTTTATTTGTCAATTGTTTAAAAGCATTCATGCAAAAAGTTTAAAAATCACATGGAAACACAAAGACTTATGTGTAGGAGGGGAAACCACCCGTAAGCCTGTTGGCAAGTAACAGCCACTGTACATGAATTTCTAGGCTTAAAAAAAATGAATTACATTTAAAAAATTTTTTAAAGTTAATTAATTAATTTATTGTATGTGTGCACACACATGCATGTGAGTGCATACGTGTCACAGTACATGTGTAGAGGTGAGAAGACATGTTCCGACAGCAAGCACCTTTAGCTGCTGGGCCATCTCTACAGCCCAGTTTCTGTTTTCAGGTAAATGTAAGCCTTGGCAATATGAATCTGTTTCCCAAGCTGGAAGGGACAGGCCCATTACACACAGAAAGCACATACATTTCTGATTCTAAAAATGGAATATGCTCACTGGAGAAACTAAAAATTGCAACAAAAGAATGAAGAAAATGGACTCAAAACACGTTAAAATCCTACCACAAAGAGAATTAATATAGTGATGTCCCCACGGGCCTTTCTCTTTGCGTCTCTGAGTATGGTATATGTGTTTACTTAATTTTATTCTTTACTTTCTTTCCTCAATCTAAGTATTTTCTCATGTTACTGCTCATTCTTTCAATGCTACAGGACGTTCTTAGTATAGATATTACATAACATATTAAGCTATTTCCTTTATGGTGAACGTTTGATTTTCTGCTAATTCTGTTTTGAAAACCTTTGCCCACAGCTCTTTTATTTCTTTAGGACGGAGTCCTTCAAGACCAGCTACTAGATGGAACAGTATAACTCCTCTGGAGAGTACTTATCTTTGTGGACACTTAGTGTTGCTCACACTGGGGCCCGCTTCATCACGCCTTGACGTCGGGCCTGCTCACTTTACAAAAGGCTAGTGTTAATAGAGTGTTATCCCTAGCCAGCACCCCAGACCTCAAGCATCTTCCTACACAAGGCTCTGCAACACTTTCTCTTGATAGGTCCCCTCCCCTCCCCCACTCCCTGCCAAGACAAAGGGTCTTTAAACTCGGAGGATGAGGGGAAGAGACACAGCAGTTAAGAACCACTAAGAGAGGGACTATTGGTCTTACCCAGGTGTCATATCTTCATTGGTCATCCAATATGGAGAACAAAGTCTCGAAGAGGAGGTCTGGAACTTGCGGGGACCGGGGTGGGGACGACAACGACACATGTGGTAGAGGTGGGAGGAGAGGGCGGGAAGACATGATGTAAGTATATTTTAATTACACGTTTTTTAAAAAGGTTTTTTCCAGACAGGGTTTCTCTGTGTAGCCTTGGCTGTCTTGGAACTCACTCTATAGACCAGGCTGGACTTGAACTCACAGTGATCTGCCTGCCTCTGCCTCCTGAGTGATGAAATTAAAAGCGTGCACCACCACAGCCCGGATTAATTACATACATTTTTTTAAATCGTAGGATAATTTTAACTTCCCAAATCGGGAACTGGTTTATAAAACCCTCAGTTCTCTGAGCCTGCTTCCTCGTGTACAATGGGCACAGTGTCCACCTTGCAGAGTCAGGGCGACCAGTTGACCAAGCAAAGGCCAGCTCACTCATTGTTAAGCCCCACGCATGCGTAGCCCACAGCAGGTGCCAGAGCTCGTCACATGTCCCTTTTTTTTTTTTTTTTTTTTTTTGGCATTCTGCTTTATCCTCAACCTGAAAGCCATTCGACAGTCAGGAGACTGGGTTTTTATCTGAGAAAGCCAGAACTCTGAGAAGCAAATTAACTCGCCTACGCCATGATAGCTGGGAACTGACCAAGTAAGGCCCACACCCGTGGTCTAAAAGGGGGATAAAGCGAGGCCAAATGGGGCCTGCACATCTGGTTTACTTGGCCTACAAAGCCAAAAAATAAGGGGGAAAAGTAAATAGGATAAAATCAAATAAAGCCAGCCTTCAAATTTCACATCAGCGCGGTATAGGATTTCGAGCTCTCTGGAAACTGAACGGGTGGGAGGAGCTTGGTGGTGACCAAGCCCCTTGCAAAAGCCAGGGCCTCGGATTCCCCAGGTCCACAGGCTGTGTGGATTCCAGAGCTGCCTGTTCCTGGTGCACTGACCCACCCGACTCGAGGGATCTAAGTTTTCTACGGGCTCCCAGGCCCATGCTCCTGCTAACCTGGGTCGGCTTGCACCCAGAGGCCCGGGAATGGCCCATTGCATGAGCCACTGCTGAGCAGCCCGTCCTGCTGCTGGGCCCTTGCAGTCCAGGAATCTGGACGTGAGTTGTTCTCCGCCCAGCCACATGCATGCGGGGTGAGCTCACCCTGGCTCGCTGCCTCCTTCCCCCAATCTCTCCAATTAAAAACATATTACCTTCCCGCTCCGCCCGGAGCAGCCCTGGGCCGCAGCTTTATTTTATAAACACATTTAGACACGTTCAAAAAGGAATGATTCATGCTGGACCTGAGCACTGCGAAACGCGAGGCCGGCTGAGCGCTTTCACAGGGCAAGCATCCTGCACTGGACCAGGCCTGGCCCTCTGGGGGTATCATCTCTCCTGCGCCAGGTCGGGGGATTACCTGGATGCAGCTGGAAGGACTTACCCACACGGCCACCTTTCGGCACCCCAGCACAGCCCCAGCCACCACAAGCTCTTGGAAGGGCAAGATGCAGGCCCAGTCCCCCCCCCGAACCCACCTACCCATCTACCGGGGAGGCTTCCTGGGGTGCCCCACTACCATTGGCCCCTCCTCCTCTCAAGTTCCTCTGTAGGCTCAGCTTCTCTCTCTCTCATCAAAATCTGAATTCCTTCCTTTTACCCACTCCTGAACCGTCCTGCAGGGTTTTGTAGCTTATTTCCAGAGTGCCTGTCTCCAGGGCCCTGAAAGGCAAGTGGCAGAGGATAGAAATAATTCCATGAATAATGAGTGGTGTCTGTGCTCAGCACAGGTCCTTAGTGATTTACATATAATCTTTCATTTAATTCTCTGGAGAGCCCGGTAAAGCAGACGTTGTTTGGCATAAGCCCATTTCACAGATGAGGTAGGATTTGATTCAGGCAAGTCTACCAGTAGGGATCTACATTAGCTGCCAGAAGTGGAACCATGAGTTCTGTCACTTGACTTTACAAACCAAAAGGCTGATGTAGCATGAATCTTAAATGGTCTTATTAATTAAATCAAACTTGGGCCAGGTATTGGGGTGAATGCTTGAAGATCAGAGAAGCAGAACAAGCCACAACTTCCTCACCTCATAATTCCTCAGCTGATCCTGTTTCCTCAGACTGGAAGCCTCTGTGTCCTCATCCGAATGGGTCTCAGCTGAACTGCTGCTCAAAAGCCTAAAACGCTTAACCAGGCCAAAAGCTTCTAATTTCTGGTTTTCATGCCTTATATACCCTTTTGCTGCTGCCGTCACTTCCTGGGATTAAAGGTGTGAGTCGCCATGCCTGCCTGTTTCCAGTGTGGTTTTGAACTCACAGAGATCCGGATGAGTCTCTGCCTCCAAAATACTAGGATTAAAGGTGTGTGCCACCATTTTCTGGCCTCTATGTCTATCTAGTGGCTGTTCTGTTCTTTGACCCCAGATGAGTTTATTAAGGTGCACAATATTTTTGGAAACACAATATCACCACAGGCTAAGGCCCAGAGAGGAACTTCTCAATCTGGCAAAGAGCCCCAGAGCCCTGACTCTTGCGCCACACTGTCGGGCCGACGATGTCATTCCTGGAGTAGTAGGAACTGAACGGGCTGTTTGAAGGAAGGAAGGAAGGTATGAGTGGCTAACTCCCTAGAGCATTATTACCACGGCTGCATCTTCTGTTGAAAACCTTTAGATCTGTTCATGCATTTTTGGTGTGTGTGCATGTGTGGGTGCAGGGGTGAGGGTCAGAGCACAAGTTATTCTCTCCTCCACCTTGCAGGTCCGGGGGATCAAACTCAGACCATCAGGCTTGGCTACACCTTTCCCCGCTGAGCCGTCTCGCTGGCCCTGCCGTGACTTCCAGGTCTGAATCCTTCACAAAGATGACAGTCCACGCAGTCAGTCCTATCCAAGCTGGTGAGGACACAGAGCTTAGAGAGCTCTCGTCATAGAACTGCAGGAGATACACTGTGGAAGTCAGCCTGTCAGCTTCCTACTAAGTTAAACATGCTCTTACCATGGGACGCAGCAGCTGTGCATCCTGGCATTTTTTCTTTTAAACACAAATGAGGTCAAAACTAATGCCCTGCAGAAGCCTACACATGAGTAGTTCCAGGAGCTTTACTCATTGCCCAGACTTGGAAGCCAGGAAGACTTCAAGAGGTGAGTAGATAAGAAATGGATTCATCAGGCAGTGGACTATGATAGCTGAGGATCATGAGCCCAACTCTCTAACATGGCACAGCTGTAAGAGGTGGATTCCCAACCTCATCTCTGTTTCCCCGATAAAACACTCTAACCAAAAGCAGCTTTGGGGAGTGTCTTAGTGACTGCTCTACATGGCAACTCTTACAAAAGAAAGCATTTAATTGGGGCTCGCTTAGAGTTTCAGAGGTTCAGTCCATTGTGTCATGGTGGGGAGCGTGGCAGCACACAGGCAGACAGGGTGCTGGAGAGGTTGAGAGTTCTGCATCTGGATCTGCTGGTAGCAGGAAGAGAGAGACACTGAGCCTGGCTCTGACTTTTGAAAACCAGATCCCACCTCCAATGACACTCTTTCTCCAACAAGGCCACACCTACACCACACCCAACATAAGCCACACCTCCTAATATCTCTCACCCGGATGACCAAGCATTCAAATATGTGAGCCTATGGGAGCCATTCTTATTCAAATTGCCACAAGGAGGAAGGGGTTTATTTTAACTTATCAGTTATAGTCCATCCTTGAGGGAAGCCAGGGCGGGAACTTAAGCAGGATCTTGAAGCAACCATGAAGGGATGCTGCCTGTCAATGTATTTATAGGCTCGTGCTTAGCTGGCTTTCCTACACAGTCCATGACCACCTGCCCAGGGAATGGTGCTGCCCACAGTGGGCTGTGCCTTCCTTCATCAATTAACGGTCGAGACCACCCCACCGAGACATGCACACAGGCCGATGTGTTCGAGGCAGTTCTTCCACTGAGACTGCCTTCTCAGGTAACTCTAGGCTGTGTCAGGTTGACAGTGAAAGTTAACGAGGATAAGGGGGACACCTTGAGCACGTGGGCCTCCTGAGTCCCAGCTCTAGAGTCTGGGGACTGGAACCAAACGCTTAGAGCCATGTGAACAGAGGGGTATTTGGCAGTAGAGGTTTACGAACACCAAGTGGGCTAGCAGGCTGTGTAGGGTCCTCAGCAATCACCACCACACTCCACCCTGAGGACTGAGTGCCTTCCTTCTGGGCCTTGACCGGCTGTGGTGAAGGTCAGCAATACTCAGGAATTATGCTGGAGTGTCTGCTTTTGACAGCATGAGATACAAAATGCACCTTGCTTCTGTGACCATTCCTCCAGGCACTGTAACTCCAGGCTAGTCAGGAGAATAGTGTCATAGACACTGCCGTGAGGGCTGGAGAGATGGCTCAGAGGTTAAAAGCACTGACTGCTCTTCCAGAGGCCCTGAGTTCAATCCCCAGCAACCACATGGTGGCTCACAACCATCTGTAATGAGATCTGGTGCCCTCTTCTGGCCTGCAGTCATACATGCTGTATACATAATAAATAAATAAATCTTAAAAAAAAAAAGAAAGAAAAAAAGAAAGAAAGAAAGAAAGAAAGAAAGAAAGAAAGAAAGAAAGAAAGAAAGAAAGAAAAAGAAACTGCCATGAGAGGCACCCTTTAAAACACAGGCTAGGAGTTCATGAAACTGCCATAGCCATGAACAGCCTAAGGGTACACATTGACAAGATCACACATGTCCCTGGGGATGTTTGACAAGGGACATTCAGTAAAACTCAAGGGACTCTGAAAAGACTATATATAGGCTTGAACTGATAGTAGCAATGTGTTAACACTGGTTCACTAACAAAAGAACCCCATTAAAGTCAGGTGCACCAAGGGGAAGCGTGTAGGCTCGGGGTGGGAGGGTGGGGGAAGGGGGAGGATGACATGGGAGAATTTCGTGCTATTTGTCCAGTTTTTCTGTAAAGCTCAAACTCTAAAAAGGTGAGCGATGAAACGGAGCAGACTTTCCAGTCAGATAATATGGGTTTGTATTTTGACTTTTAAACTGGATTTGGCTGCCTGACCTTGGGTAAATTCTCTCCACCTCCTTTCCCCTCGGTTCACTTTCACAGAACAAGGCCAAGAACAGGTTTTAGCTTGATGGGACCTTTGGAGAATTGAAGAATGTATCTCAGATACAGTGCTTGGCACATTGCCTACTACATATATGGCGCCCATTAAGCTCTAAGTATACTCATGGACATACGTTCAGGGACTTGTGTACTGGGGTTATTACTGATGCATGGTCTATTTTTATTGTTGTATTCTGTTTTTTTTTTTCTTTTTTTAAAGCAAACACTGTCAGCCAGTTCTGTTCTTAATAGAAAGATCTTTTGTGTTTAAGCCAAAGTACTTGACTTGTTTTTCCAATGGTGTGGGCTGGGGCAAGCAAGCGTTTAGGCTTAAATTTGGAGCATTTTATCTTGCTCTACACACAGGACTTTTTGAGTGGACTCACTTTCCTGACCAACCCTCCCCCCCTGTATCCACTAGGCTTGAAGGCCAAGAGGAACGAGCCAGAACAATTTCCACACAGAACAAGAGACTTCTGGGAGAAAGGGGGACTAAGACTCCACCCCTCACCTTTATCTCCTGCTTTGGTGCACGGACCCATCACAGAGTACACTGAAGCGTGGGGCTTCCCCACATTGAAAACGTCCAACTCGAGGGGCCTGAACTACCCGAGTTACCCACGCTGCAGACAAACTCGGACACCCCTTTCCTGGTGGGAGTGGTAGCTTCTGCCATGCTCTGTGGGGCCACTGGAGTGGTGGATTCCCTATTTCTCTAGCTGAGAACCTGGGTCAATCTCCCGGCATTCTTATCCGGAAGAAGAGCAACCACATCTCAGCTCCCGATTCACCTAGACTACTTGATCTTCAGGGAAGAATGAAAAACAGTCAAACAGTCAAACAGAGTCCTCACGCTTCCTCCAAAGGTGTGTGCCCGAGGGCCTGGGAGCCTCCCCTAGAAGTGCTGCCAGCTCTCAATACCACCACCTTTAACCTTTGAGATCCATTCATGCAGCCTACACTAACTGGGTCCTCTATGGGGACTTTTTCATCTTTTCATTTTTAAGGCACTACTACTACTGACCACTGAGAGGAGGCATGTTTTGCAACTGGTACCGGAGAAGTGAGTACTTGGTTGCTGTATAAATATCCATACACATGGATACCTTTAAATACATTTATGAGTGTACACACACCCACCCCTGCACATGCAGACACTGGTGGCCCTGTGAACTTATTGTCTTGGAAGAAAAACTCTTGAGTACTCTCAGCTTTTCTTCTCACGTCTTGAATTCTTGGAAAGGGGCTGCCCTGAGGGATGGGGGTGGGGAGGACCAGAGGAGTGGCAGAATCATATGGAAAGAAGCCAATTTGTTTCTGAAGTCGACAGATGGGCGAGGACAAATTACTCAGTGGTATTAAAACTCTCTTTTAATTCAACAGTATTTGCAAACTGATCTGAGTCCCCAAAGCAATACAGAGAATACAAATCCAAGAACCAATTCCAATCTGCCCTAAAGATGGGCCTTACAGGACGCTTCACGAGCAGTGTACAGCCCCAAGTATATCTTTGCCACAGCATAATTGTCCAGGAAGAAAATGTAGTTAGATCAGAGCTGTACGGTTTCCCAATGTGGGAAGACTCGAGGCCCCTTGGCTGTTTTAGAATGACTGGTTAGGAAGGAAAACAGGAGTCATTGCTGGGTTTGGGTCATTGTAAAACTGTGTGTATTTGTTGTAGAAAATTTAGTGAAGTGTGAACAGCAAGACACTCTCCACCCAGGGAGCTTTGACATTATTTTAAGCAAGTGTTTACAAACACTTGGCTTTTGAGTGTCTATACAGTCCCGTTATCTAGATCTGTAACCCAGTCCACCCATGCTGTCTGTAGCCTGCCTTTGCCTATGGTTAGTGATGTTCAGACTTTCATCCCTGTGGACGTAGGAACATGGGACGCAGGACATGAAAACACTTAGGAAGGAACGATTGGCTGCCTCACCCCAGCCCAGCCTCAACACCTACACCTCAGAGAGGTTGCCGCAGGAAGCTCAGACCCTCCACACCTCCAGGACACTCACACATCTGGAGGAATGGTTCCATGTCAGAAAACTCCTCACTCCACCCCAGGAAATGTCCTCAGTTTATCCAAACATTTGAGGGGGGCTCTCCGGGGATTAAGAACCACAGTGCAGTGCTGGACCACACTTGACCTCCTGATTTCTCCTTCCCCTGGAGACACGCGTGCAAATTTCCTTCTTTAATCGCTGAAACGATGAGGTCGTGTACCAAAGCAATATGGCTTGAAAGAGCTTAAGGCAGAAATCAAACAAGGGCAACTCTGGACACTGCGATGTCTTTGGTGAAAAATAGAAACGAAATGATAAAGAAGTTGATGATTTCAAAGCTTTTATATGCATGAAACAGGATCTTAAAATGAAATACTTTGAAGTGTGATTCAGAGAATTTGAATTCCCTGAACCACCACCCCCAACACACACCGTCAGAAGAGATTTTTGTTGTTGTTGTTTCAAACCGGCTAACTTGCGTTTAGAAATGATTAAGTGATCTCTCCTTATGGGTAACACATGCCATATAACTAATGGGTCTTCCATGTTGCTCTGGCTGCCAGGGGCCTCAGGAACCCACTGCTTCAACTTAAATTACTACATACGTCTTGTATATCGATGTTGTAATGTCCCCTCTGGTTTTGATATTTTTCCCTGATCCTGGTTTTTATCTAGTTAGATTTTTGTTTTATTGCACGTAGTTCTCATAAGCCACCTCAAATCTTTTGTTAGATTGATTTGCAGATCAAAACAACTTGGATTTGTGGTTCAATTTAAGAAGAAAAGAGGGGTTTCAGTTTGGTTTTGGAGTTCAGCAAATTAGTGTGATTAGCCCTGATTTGAGGTTTACAGTTTTATTATGTTAAAGTCCTTGGTATTTAACACATCAAAGGGCCTGAGAGCTCACACTTAACCTCCCACGTGTTAACACTACGCAGTGCATCGCAGGTCTGTTTCCAATGATCATGCAGTAAGGCATTCTCTGAGGGCCTGTGCTGGAATCTTGCTCACTCTGTACGTACTGAAACATGGATGTCTGAGTCCCACTTTGAAACACACATATAAGGGAGAGTTTAGCAAAGAAAGTGTCCACACTTAAGCTAGTGTCCCCTGCGTGTTTGATTTGGGTGATAAAGGTCCAAGTCCTCTGGATACAGGAAAAAACATGTCATCCATGGCATCATTTGTTATCCATCACAGCAATTTTAGAATCTCTGCCTGGTGCCTCTTGCATGTGTCCACCTTTTCAAAAGTTAAGAACCATTGTACTGGGCATGAAGTTCAGCCTCAAGAGAGAATGTGGTCTCCCCATAGATGATGCTCAGCAGGGAGAAGGCCTGGTTTCTGATAATGTGCCATGGTGACTCTGCTGCTTCCCCTGGGAGAGTCCTTTGGATCCATTATAGACCATACACTCTGAGAATGTCTCTTTGGGCAGCTTGTGGGATCAGGTCTCTGGCCCTGCAAGGATACTGGCTCTCAGTTTGATTTTTGTAAACTCTGCTACAGATTGGATCTTGAATGTTCCTCCAGGCCCAAGTAGTTAACCTCCCAACAGTGCGGGAAGTTTGAGAAGTAGGACCTAGCAGGAACTCTTCCGGTCGTTAGATGTACCCTCGAAGGAGATGTGGAGAGATGGCCCCTTCCTCCCTTTCGCTTTCCACCAGCACAAAGTGAGCATCTTCCGCTCATGCTTTCCAACACCATGATTCATTGCCCTGCCATGGGCCCAAAACAAAAGAGTCAGTTTATTATGGACTAAACTCCCCCAACTGTGAGCCAGATAAACCTCTTTATAAGTTGATAGTCTCAGGTATTTTGTCATGGTCACAGTTGCAGAAAGATGCCCAACACAGTACTTAACAGCTCGACATTCTTACTTTCTCCAAGCCTCAACAGAGGAATTAGGAGACTGAAAGGAAGCATTGTCCACCAGAGACCGTGTTTCCCATTTGCCACTGGTGACATCTGACGCTGAGCAAAGGGCTTCATCCTCCTCAGTCTTGACGTACAGATCTGAAGGTGGAGCTGACATTTATCACAAAGCAAATAAATCTTTGGGTTCGGGGATCCCCCTTTGCCCATGCTGCCTCCAAAGCTGGCAGTGTGCTTGTCTAATCATGCATGCTGATCAAACTTAAGAAAGGAAACTATCTCAGTCCTAGTTGGCTAAGAGTGCCATCTGTTCCCACTCAATGCCCCGTGTTCTATCAGTTACTTCTACTTTGATGGGACCAAAACACTGGGCAGAAACAAGTTATGAAAGGAAAAGTTTATGTCAGCTGATGGCGTCAGAGGTGCCTTTCCATCGTAGCTGGGACAGCTCTATGTGGTAGAGAAGGCATGAGGCAGAAGCTGTGCACACGGCAGCAGCCAGGAAGCAGAGAGTGTGGCCCGGGTCAGGGGCAGGATTAACCTGGTGACCGCAGTCAGACAGCTGGTGACCTACTTCCATGTAGGCCCCACACCCTAAAGCTTCCATAGCAGCCAGATCACAGCCACCTACATGCTGGGAAAGAAGCATTCAAACTGTGGTTTGAGGTGGAGAGAGGACATTTCAAATTCAAACCACAACACCTGCCAGACCTCACCATGGTCATTTCAGAGATCAGAAGCAAGAAGGTAAGTTTGTGCACCTCTTCCCTGGACCCAGAGCAGCGTGTCTTCTAGCGTAGGAATAACTTCTATGTAAAACTCCCACCCCCTACACCAAAAGCTCTCCTGAAAGCCATCTCACAGAACTTCCTAAGTGTATGCAAAGAGTAAGTGCGAGAAAACAGTTTGAAAAACATGGAGTTGGTGTTAAGCTGTGAGACACACTTGCGTCCTGAGAGATATAAAAACTGAAAGTGGGCAGTTGTGAGTCTGTAGCTGTCTGACAGAAACAGAAATTCAGTCTTCAGAGAAGCATGCTCAGCAATGAAATCTACAGGGTTATCATCCTGGTTGTGATCTGAAACATCCCTCAAGGGTCTTTATGTTGAACCAAAAGCTTGGTTGCCGGTTAGTGTGGCTACTGGAGGTGGGTAGAACCTGTAAGAGGAGGGTCCTATTGGAAGGAAGTTAGGTCACCTGGGGCCTGTGAAGGAGATGCTGGTATCCTGTCTCTTTTCTCCCTCCCCCTCTCTCAGCTTTTCTTCTTCACATAGGTCCTTCCATTATTTATTGCCTCCACATAGGCAAGAAGCATGGAGTCTGAGCTTTGTAACTAGAGTTTTTCTGGTCCTGCCTGGCCCACAGTCAGGACAAATCCTTGTCACCCGCCAGTCCCTCAGCCGCTCAGACCCAACCAAGTAAACACAGACTTACATTGCTTACAAACTGTATGGCCGCGGCAGGCTTCTTGCTAACTGTTTTTATAGCTTAAACTAATCCATTTCCATAAATCTATGCCCTGCCATGTGGCTCGTGGCTTACCAGCATCTTCACATGCTGCTTGTCATGGCGGCAGTTGGCAGTGTCTCCTTCCACCTTCCTGTTTTTTCTTTTTTCCTCTCTGTTAGTCCCGCCTATACTTCCTGCCTAGCCACTGGCCAATCAGTGTTTTATTTATTGACCAATCAGAGTAATTTGACATACAGACCATCCCACAGCACAAAACCAAATGTTTCCTCTTTTAAAACTGATTGTCTCAAGTATTTTGTTACAGTAACAGAAAATGAATACAATTGGGAAATCATTGTTTTTTTGTCCTTCCGTCAACCCTATGGGAAAAGCATTCCTTGTTCTTGTAGCACAATGGTGTAACAGTTAGTCTATCTTTGTGTATATTTGCATGTTTTTGCATCTCAGTTGATGTGGTTTGAATATGAAATGCCCCCTCACAGGCTCATGTTCTGAACACTTGGGCCCCAGCAGGTAGCCCTGTTCCTGGGAAGTGTGGAAGTTTCAGCCCCGCCCCCCACATACACCCCGAGCACAGCTAGAAATAGGTCCTCTCAATGTGTTTTTGACAGGTTGTAGTTTATCCCTGGTCTCTGTCTCTCGGCTTCCTGATCAGCATGGTGTGGATTGCTCTGCTTTCCCCAAGCCCCCTCTGCTGTGGTGAACTGAACCCTCTGACACCGTGAGCCCAAATCGACTCCTCTCCTTACACTGTTCTCTCAGACCTTTTGGTCACAGCTCTACAAAAGTAACTAAGGCGTTAACTCCCCAAGCAATAAAGTTTTGCCAGCTGTCACACATGGCACATGCCTTTAATCCCAGCACTCAGGAGGTAAGTGGATCTCTGAGTTTGAGGTAGCCTGGTCTCTGTAGTAAGTTTCAGA